CACCTATTCTCTTGATTTCCAAACGAAGGTTTTTGTTTTTTAAACAAATTCAAAAGTTCTTTTAAGTCATTTAATTTGTTTCAGCTTCTTTTTTTTTTGACTGGACAGTAACAAAATATGTCAGTTACTGAGAATGGAAGAAGGATTCATATCAATTCAAATTTTCTCTTTCGCTACTTCATAGCAGTCGTTAGTTTAGGTATGTGAAGACTGACGACGACACTTATGTGAATACTTGGAATTTGCGTAACTATTTGTCGACACTAAATTCATCTGAACCTCATTATATTGGGCACAGATTAAAATTTCTTGCGGTAAAAACCAAGACTACCTTGTTTCACTTTTTCTTCTTGTTGAATAAATTTTTTCAAGAAATCAGCTTTTAAATTGAACTGTGTCTTGTTGCCCATTGTTGAAAAAGAAATTGATTTTTGAAATTCTTCTGCTTTTTTGATTTTTATTTTTAACTGTCAGAAAAATACAGGACAACAACTACACGGCAAGGATCGTTAAAGTTGCATTTCGCAAATTTTCCAAAAATTAATTGACTGGACTGTTAAAAAAGTTTCTTATATCCTTTAAAAAACACTTGTTTACCTGCTAAAATTTTTTTCTTAACCTTTTAATCTTTAATTTAACTAATTGAAGAATGAAATTAAGCCTCTGTTGTCGCTTCTCGCTAACTATTTTGCCGTCTCCAGAGCTTTCACTTTTCATAGGGAACGATATTACTAGAAGGAAATCATGGCCAGATGGTCATTTTGCTAAAAGTGTCCATAATTTTGCAAAGGTTCGAGTACCTGCTTTTTGGACAACTACAAAGTTGTGAAGGACTGCTGAAGTCCTTGATGACCATCAAGAAGGCCACGGTTTTGTTAGCCAGTGCAACGAAAAACCGTAATGATTATCAAGCCATTATTGGTCAAGTGGCTTAACACTGTGCTCTTTAGTTTCTAACATAAAAACCATCTGTCAAAATTTCAACATTCACTAGTGATAAAATAAAAAATAAATAGAGTAAGACTCTCGATTATCAGTTATTGGTATCTTCTGCAGATATGTAAAGAATGTACGAAAATACATTGAAAAGAAAAACACCACTGTATACAATACAATCACCTTTTCAAATCATCATCTTACTGTTACTTAGTGTCGTATATTGTTTTACCTGCAAAACAAATACAATCTTTTGGTAGAAAAAGCTACTCAGAAAGATTAACGATATTGCAGTTAAGAGTTTAAGACATTTGAGCAGTTTCAAAAAGAAAAAAACTGGTAAAAGTAGCAGTCAGCAACGATGTGAAACAGTGATCACAATGATCTAGTAAATTCTGCAACGGCTAGATACCAAATATCAGATGTAGAGTACTAAATAAAAAATTTTCTATATTACAAAGTTCGAAAATTTATATAAAATAATTGAAAACGGAAAAATAGAAAAAAGACAGAAGGATGTTTTAGACATTCCTGTTGCATTTAGATTTCAAAGCAAATTTTAAAGGAAAAGAGGGCAAAAATAAACCAAATAAATGTTTTTGTAGGGACGGTAGACAACGAAACGTAGTAAACAAATAATAAAAAAATTATCTAAGACTTTCAGAATTCTCGAGCGCCGTAGAGGATAAAAGATCAAATTTCGATGACATCATTCTAAAATGCGCAGACTTTCCAGAAGACCCATAATTACTAGCAGCCTAACGCGCTATCGTATTTGTCGTCTATCACAATGCCTGTAAATGAGCAGACTTAAAAGAGTTATGACTATGTGTGAATAATACAGTTTTATATTTAAAGCTAGTTTAGCCATATTATATCATAATGCAAATGCAGCAACCAGTAATCTTCTGTCGATCACTTACAATCGTTCATTTCTGCTGTAGCACAGTGTGATAACTCTATCTGTATCTTTGCGCACTAAGCAGATATTTCAGCTTTCCCAAGTTACAATTATAAAATATCGTTCACATGACCATTTGGCCAATTTCTAATCTTTACAAGTTGTTAACTTTAGGCATAATTTAAGCCATAAAACAGCGCAAATAGTAGTATGAAAAAAATTATTTTTTGTAGAAAATCAAAAATTTAATATTATTTAAGCCAATACACGGATATAACAGTGGTGCAGTCTATGTGCTTAGCAGAAAAGCAATGGAGTTGTTTGCGGAAAAACTCTTTAACGATTCAAATTTATGCAAATTTTCAAACTGGGAAGATTATGGTTTAGCCAGGTTGTATTCAGTCAAAACTTTTTTTTTTTTTTTGAATTATTCAACTTTATTTGATATGTTCTTGGCATTGATATTTTTGAAAGTTACTTTTGGTTCCAGTAAATAAACAAAAAAAAAAAATTTTTTTTTCACAACTGCACTAAGTTTTACCTTAATTTTAGATGGTTTTTTAATAAATTTCTGCTAATTTAAATCCTACCGTCAAGTTTTAGATGCTTAAAGTCGTTGTCAGTCTTTCCAGAAGATACCCGGGACAGAGAAGGAAGGCAACGCTTTTTTCCTTCCGGACCGTGGGAGGAATTGTTCAACATAAAGGATAGTAATTATCCGTACGACCCGATAAACGGAACGGTACGTTAAATAAAGTCAATTGTATTAGTGCTCTTTCAAAACTGTATCACCATTTTTTTGAATAGTTGCTGATTAGGCGAATAATGAGATTGTTGCTTCAGACGCAGGATATTTTCCACGAAAACGTTATTGCATTTCATCACCTGACTCCCAACGAATTATTACTAGCTGAAGCGATGTACAGGATAATACCCCACGACATCAGAAATATCTGATGTATGCTAGCGAAAGCACTTTTTTCTCTTCTTCAAAGGCCAATACGCAGATCAAGGTTAGATAGATTTAATAATTATATAACAAATTTAGATATCAACAACAGTGGTAATTGCAGGACACTTATACTGACGAACACAGTTCAACTAGATGAAATGCTGACAAGGCGGTGTTTGTCTATCTTTGAGAAGAATTTGGAAAGCAAACTGGTTACCCACAGCATATCAAAATTAAGAAACTTTTTTCTAGTCTCTCTACATGCATTATGACTGCAGAGATCTTTCTTCCGCTTGAAAAATAAAATTTTTTTCTTTTCTGAATTATTATTAAATAATTTATTTGTTTTAGTCAGTTACTGTTATTGCTGTTCGCTCTCAATGGAATTAATTCTGATCATAAGGTGCAACATAAACTGGCTAACATTTATAGCTGTTAGATAAATTTAATCAGGTTAAAAAACGACAGATTTTTTGGAGAGTAATAATACGTTCAAAAGACACTATAGCTTTTGCTCAATTTGCTGTTATTTGCTGCTTTATTGCCGTATAACAGTCTATATCCTTTAATAACCTTTATACATATTACACATTGTTAGAAAGTATTAAGCATTAAAAAAAACTAAAATAACATTAGTAATTTAAATAAACAAAAGCACCTAAAAGAAAAATAAATAAAGCAGCAAAACCGATACAGTAACCTTAGATTAATTTGCACAACTTAAATACAGATTTTCCACTATATTAGCGCACAAAACTAATTCAACAAATTTGAGGATTACAAAAAATTGGCGGAAGGAAATAAAGCAGAGAAAAGTTCAAAGTTCAACAATAACTGTTAATCAGTGCTGGAAAACAATTCATAATTTTTTCTTCTAAAGGTGATAATGGTAAGTGGTAAGCAATTGTTTCAGCTAGAATAATGATGTAAAAACAAGAAATCAGAAGTGAAAATCAAAAAAATAACAGTTTTCAATAAATTTTTGATAAAATCAGACTATTTCTGCTGTCTGTTTTTTATTTCGTTGCACCACCATGGAATGTATGCGATTCTGTACCACCATGACCAAAACCTTTTGGACCAAACTTGGCACTGTAGCACTGGTTACAATATGGCTGCCCATCATGCTGTAATCAGTGTTCATTTACTATTTTTCTATGTTTGTAAAACTGTCAAAAAAAAAAAGAAAAAGCTCTAAATGTTTAACAGATATTATACTTAACTGTGATTGATTCATTGCTAAATAGACTGACAGATAAATCATAACTGTCTAACACTTTATCCACTTGGATAATTACGAAAGTACTTAGTTGAAACAAGCATTAGTAGTTGAGAACTGAAAACAAGACAAGGCTTGGTGCTAAAAGAATATAAACTGCTGTTTAAAGCATTGAAAGTACTACTGTTCTTCTTTTTTATATAGACAAAGCTCTTACTAAATGTTTTAAGACGCAAACAAGTGCTGCAAACAGTACGAAAGTATTGAACAAATCTTTCTTTTACCAATTTTATCTTAAGAACCAGATTGTAAATTTTTTTTCAAGATGGAAAACTATAATTTCTGACAGTTTGACAACCCTTTTTTTCCATTCTCAGAGGATAATGTAACAGATGTATAAAAAAAACTGAAAATTGCAGAAGAAAAAATGTGTAAATTGTTAGAAAACCAAGCAAAAGAACAAGTGCCAATTAAAACTTTCTCTTCCTCGTTCATCTCTCTTTCATCCACCTGCCCTCTTCTTATCAAACGAAAAGAAGAATCATAAGATACAAAAATTGTAAAACCATTTGGAAGTCAAACATTGCCAAAAAAAATTGCCCAACAAATTCTTTTCTTTTTTGCACAGTATTTTCAATCAAAAAACGTTTTTTTCTCAGCTATTAAAATATTTGACTCACCAGAAACAGAAGAAAAAAAGTAAGAAGAATGTACTATAAACTTTTAAGGGTAAAAATTATAATACAAACAAAATAAATTGTTGAAATTTCGAGTACTGTGCTAAAACATAACGAGCCAACCAAAAACTCAGATTCACAAATTCACCCAAACGTTAACTATAACAATGGAAGCCTCCTATTACAGCACATCACCACAGCTGCAAAGTAATTGAAAGAACACTTAGCTGAACAAAACTCTTTCCACTTCAATTGCCGAAAATCAGAAGAAAACAAATTTTATGAAATTTAATATAAATCATAATGTATAGGTGCTCCTCAAAATTGATGTCAGCAATTAAGTTACACTGAACTTGCATATAAACCTTTAAAAGTTAAAAGGAAAAGAAACAACTAACTTCAGAGTGTCCGCCAGGAGCTAAAGGTCTGTTGCAAGCTTCATTTGTACATCTCAAACATCCGCGATGCCAGTCTTTACCCAACGATGTCACTTTTTCAGCTATAACAGCATAAAGAAACGAATAGTTGCCTCTGAACGACTAAACATCGCACAGAAATAATTTAAATACAAATTGAGTGCAAGCATTCTTTTTCCGTTTAAAAAGTGCAAAAAATACCGATAAATAAATTAACAAAGAAATATGATAAAGATTTACCAAAATAAACAGCTTTCTTGCAACGAGGGCAATCTGGCATTGTTTGTGTGCTGTAAAAAACACGAATTGATGGCGGACTGATGGCGATTACAATCAAAATATGATTTGGTAATACATTACGCATATAAGAAACAAAATTATCAATCCTTATACTATGTGTGTCAGAAATTTGAAATTATTTGTATTAACCTATGCGTCTTTTTATTGTTATCTCTTACAGTATTGCTCGTCAGATACATTAACTTAAACTTCTCAAAACGACTATGATTGTAATGATCGTAGGCAGTCCGACAGCGAAGCAGCAACTCTGATTTAAACCTTTACAGTCAATTAATTTCTGTATCGTCTTTAAAATGCCTTAGAAGTAAGCATGTTATATCAAATTATAATGTATAGTTGTTTTTCAAAATTGAAATTACAAATGAAGCTTTTATTTTTGAAATTTGCGCTAATAAACCTTTAGTGAATCTTCAGCCGCTGTTGGATCAAAACTATAGTTGAAGACTAGTTTAGCTAATCAAAATAAAATAATACTGTATGCGAAAAAAGTATAGTTGTTCAACAAGGAGTTATGTTTATTGAAGTGAAAATGCTTACTGAAGTCAAAATGTACTAAGCAAGACGATGACAACAAACGTAGACATTATAAAACAGTATCATTACAAAATATTGTTAATAAAACCGCTTAAGTACTGTTATAAGAGGTCATATAGTTCAACAATCAATTTAGAATCTTTTTACAGCTTAGTACTAATAATAGTATTGCTAGATAAAAAAATTTGTTACCGCTTCTATAATGATAACAAAAAAGTTGGGTGTCTTTGCCAACTGTTTAATAACTTTGTAGACAATAAAACTTTAGGAACTAAAATGTATAACCCCAAAGAAGAAAGCTGCTTAAAGCAAAATATAATAATCAAAACTTAAGTTTTGCTATTCTTAAAAAACAAAAAATCATTTTTCCATCTTTCTTTTTACAGATTTTCTAAACTTTTAAGCCTTTCATTGTTGGTGCCTTCAGTAAATGAAGCATTTTTGAAAAGAATGAGTGAATTTTTATAGAAAAATGAAATCATTTTTTCCAAAACAGCTAAAAGCAAACAGTCCTCTTTCCTACAGATGAATGAGGAGAAAAAAATGGGGACAAGTAACATGTGATGTAATTTTATCTAAGATGGCAGCCATTAGAACCCAAAGCATTGAAAACACAGGCAACAACAGCGACAATGCTTCACTATCCAAACTTCAGAAATGGTGACCAAAAAAACAATAGCTGGCATTGAAAATACTGAGAAAATGAAAAAAGCTATATGATATCTTAAGACTAAAAAATTTGGACTAACTAAAGTGCAGTAAAAGCATCCATAAAAAAACATTGAGTAGCAATCAATAATGCATTGAAATTCAATAATGAGAGGCAATATAAAAAATTGACAACTCAACATGGATTTGATATTTGCAGCAATGATTAGCAGTGTTTGTGTGGTACAACTGATGTTTCGTAAGGCAAAACAATAATTCTTGTTAGGCAAATTCAGCAGTTTAAAAAGGCTATTTTTTGATAGGATCAGTTCAAAAAAAAAACTCTGAATAGGTATAATTTTCAAACAGTTGATCACCGCCAACACAAAACACTTGCCTCAACTAAAGCGCTAAATAACAAACGATCAATCTATAACTGCTGTATACTGATACCCCTTAAATTGAACAATTTCTTGTAATCTCTAAATGTAATGTGACAGTTAAGCCAATGTGCTCAAAAATCATTGAGTTTGAGTAATCTGTTTTTAGATTTAGTTAAGTTCAAATCAAATTTACAAATTAGTCCATTGGTACGAAGCAGCAATTGTTGCTTTATAAACTGTTCAATTTAACAAAGCGATGACCATTTTTACAGCATAATAAAAAGAAGAATAAAGAGTAAGGCAAGCAAAATGTATCTGTCTAAATGATAATTCAATTATAGGTCTCTTTAATGGTTGACAGTATCAATTAGATGGCCACCGTCAGCTGATATCAGTGTACGCTGCAAATTTATTCCACAATTTTTTTTTTTTTTTCAAGAAGACTTTGTAGCTAAATTAGCTTTATTTATACAGTCTAAAAACAGTAAAGAAAATAGCTGTTTAAACAACAACAAGAACCAAAGTATTCTTTTGATGAATCTTAACCGCACAAATAATGTACAGTTTTTATGCGGTTTATATGAGAGCGAACAAAAAAAGTCTGTTACCAAAAAGCAAATGCTGCGTATCAAACAAACAAACAGACAAATAAAGTGAGCAAAAAAAAAAAAAA